ACAATATGCGTTTTTGCTGGCTGTAGCAGTGCTATAGCGCTGCACAGCAAAAACGCATAAAAACGAATATTGGCTATGTGTATGTATCTGTGTGTTTCCCACTTTAAAATCGAGAACCAAAAAGCTAGAAGGCTGAAACTTCGGGAGTTTGCGCCTATCCATGTGCGACCCTCCCGTTTTAACATCATCACTCACATATGCCTGGTTCCACGTACGAACGCTTAAATAAATTTGCAAATTTTTGGCGGGAAAGCGATCTTGGGAACCGGACAAGATAGAGAGCTGAAACTTTGCAGAGATATTCTACGTTTATTCATGAGTTAAAGATTTCAGATTGAGCCCCTAGATTTTTGTAGTTATCACGCACGGGCATGTGGAAGTTTGGGCGGAAAAATTACTAACTCGGAAATCAGAAAAGCTTAAAATTTAGAGTAATTTTCCCTGTCCGAGTACAACTTAAATTTTCCAATTCAGCTTCCAGGCATGCATGATTCTCGCGGGCGAGCACTTAAAATTTTTGGCGGGGAAATTGCTCACTGAACAGCTGGGTCATTTTCAAGGAACGAACGCTAAACGAAAATTGTTCATTTTTATGCGTCTTTGTTTGTATGCAAATGTAAAAACGCATATTGTGACGACCCATGGTGTGCGGTGTGTATATTCGTATATGTGTGCGTGTGTTTGTGCGTTTGTGTTTGCGCGCCTGTCCGGATATTTCAACTCAACAACCACGCAAGCTCCGGCGCCAAAACTCTCCGGCCAAGTGCCACTCCAAGACCGCGGCACGAGCCCTCACGCAAGTCTGTGCCCCGCGTACGAGAGGGTGAAGGTTTTGGCGGGAAAATCGCCAATTTGGAAACAAAAAAAGCCAGAAAGCTGAAATTTTGAAGTTGTGTTCCCTGTCCACATGGAAATCAAAGATTTCAAATTCAGCCCCAGGTATGCGTGATTCCCGCGTACGATCTGTGAAAATTCCTGGGGAGAAAATCGCTAATTTGGGAAGCCAGAAAAGCTGGGAAGCTGAAATTTTAAGATGTTCCTAGCCCATGTACAACTTAAACTTATCAAATTCAGCCCCAAGCATGCGTGTTTCTCAAATACGGTCTCGCGAAAGTTTTTAGCAGGAAAATGGCTAACTCGGGAAACAGGGAAACTGGGAGGCTAAAACTTTAAGGGAATGTTCCCAGCTTCCGTAAATGCTAAAGATATCAAATTTAGCTCCCAGGTATAAGCGGTTTTCACGTACGATCTCGTGGAAATCTTTGGCTAAACATGGCTTGCTCGAGAACCAGGAAAGCTGAGAGATTGAATTTTAAGGGAATGTTTCCATACCACATACAACTTAAAGACTTCAAAATCAGCCCTCAGGTACGTTCCCAGGTCACGCATGCCTCGTGAAAAGTCATTAACTGCATGAATGACTGTTGCTTTACACCTACCTTTTATGCTCACTAGCGTAAATCACCATAAATTTTTCATAAAGTAAATGAACAATTTCCATTTGACACTCGTTCTTTGAAAGTGACCTGTCTGTTCAGTGAGTAGTTTTCCCACCAGAACTTTTAAATGCTCATACTTGAGAACCACACGTACCTAAAGGCTGAATTTTTAATATTTAAATTGTATCTGAACAGGGTACATTGCTCTAAGATTCCAGCTTTCTAGCTTTTCTAGTTCCCGAATTAGTAGGTTTCCCGCCAAAAGGGCCCGTGAAAGCCTTTTTTGCGTAAATTGCTAGCTCGTGAACCTGAGAAGCCAGAAGACTGCAACTTTGAGGAAACGTTTCTCGTCCACGTAGGTGTTATTGTTCGCAAGCGCGGACACCGGGCATACGTGGTATCCACGCACGGGCTCGACAAATTTTTTTCCGGGTAAGTCGCTAAGTCGGGCAACTGAAAAGTTAGAAGGCTGAAATTTTAAGGGGATGTTCCCCGTCCACGTAAGTTTTCATGATCTTCAAACCCAGATACCGAGTGTACGTGGCACCCACGTAGGGGCCCGCCAAAGTTTTTCTCGGGTAAACTGCTAACTCGGGAACCTGAGAAGCTGAAGAAATGGAATTTTAAGAGAATGTTCCCATCGAAGTATGTGTTAGCGAGCTCAAACCCAGACACCTGGTATGGGTAATACTCACGTACGAGCTCGTGAAAATTTTTTTTGAGTAAGTTATTAGCTCGGGAACCTGAGAAGCTAGAAAGCTGAAATTTTAAGGAGGTGTTTCCTGATACTTCTGGGAGCCAATCTTAATTTGTTCATCCAGAAGCATATGCCGAAAAAACCGGTGCTGGTAGCAAAAAACTGCAGAGAACTATGCAAAAAACGCATCTTCGCACGGGCAGCTCGTGCGATGATCAATTATTTTAACTTTAAAAGGTATGCTGCGGCTTAACACTGCACAGAGCGCCATGGTTGCGGTTACATCTCATTGTGGACACCGCACCCAAACATACTGCCCAACTGGCGTGTGGTTGCATATCATTCTGCGCTGCACGGTGGTGCAACAGTTGTCCCTGGAAAACTGAGTTAGAAGCCAGTAGGTCCTGAAACCCGAGTTAGAGATCTGTGATCAGTATGAAATTAGCGCTTACGCAATATGTTGTTGCTTCCAGATGCGATAGCGCAACATAATATAAGCTATTCTGAATCATGTAAATCACAGCTGGCACGAACATTTTTAACGTCTCCACATAATTTCGCAAAATTGCGCCGTAAAACCTCGCTGTATATCTGAAAACTTGATAAGTTATTGCATTTTCGACCACCACTCTTGTAAACTCGCTGTTGTAAAGAAGAAAAGATGGAAATAGTGTAAAAACGAAGTCAAAACAGCTGTAACCAAGCTTGTGAGTCTTATTGTCACAAGAAAGACCTGCAGTGAATGGACTGTACCATGAGCAAGAAAGCTTTGTATGAAGGAGTCACGGATACATTGTGTTGGGCGCCAAAGAGCCGGCACCTCTCTGGTAAACTTTTGAATTCAGGCCCAGCTAGTAAACACTTTAGTGCAGGTATAGCACACAATGATGATCTTTAATGGATTCAGTAAATTTACTCTGCAGTTTTCAAACTAGCCCCTATTTGTAAATTACGATCATAAATTAAGAAAAAAAAGTTCGAATGTTCACATTAACCACTTAATTCATCATACGTGTACAGTAAAAACCATAGAACTCTGAATTTTCAGTTCGTTCCACTCTCAAATTATAAAAACGATTGGAATTTGGACGAATTCTCACATTAAAATATGTAAGGGATGAAATCCAAATTTCGGATATTTGTTTTCAATTATCCAGAGAAAACCAACTAGAATTGTAGAATTGTAGTCTGCAGCCCTTTTATCTTTCGAGGAATAAAAAAAATCACGAAATTTAGACCTAAGGCCGCAGTTTATTAAACATTGTGGACTGCAACCGGCGTCCGGTCAATATTCCATGAATTCATAGCCCAAACGATTCCGAAATATGGTGCCAACCAAATTCTGGACATTAGGCCGCAGCCTAGGATACAGGGAGAGATGTGAGCTGATTTCTCTCAGTCTCGAAAACTGCCACAAACAAACTCCCGAAATTTGAGATTCTTGATTTTCACAGTTCAATTTTTAAATTATCTGGGCTCAGAGACAAATGATTTTCTGCTAAGCACGAGTGAAAATTCCAACTGAGTCACTGTTGGTGTACTTCCAACCCAGAAACTAGATCCGAACCGGAATGCACCAGGCTGCCCGCGCTATACTTGAAACAATTAGATTGTTAATTATATGAATGATTTTTGTGCATTTTTGCGTATGTGCAAATGCAAAAACGCACATATGACCCATGGTGTGTGTGTTTATGCATATGTTTGTGTGTGTGTGTTTGCGCGTGTGTATGTGTGTGTGTCTGTGTGTTCGCACTTTTCGTCACCCATTTTCAACTCGAGAACCAGGAAAGTTAGAAGGTGGAACTTTGGGAGTATGCTCCCATACCATGCGCGAACATCAGGTTTTAATTTCATCCCACTCGGACGCCTGGGCGCCGCGTACGGACGCTTTAAAAAAATATGCAGATTTTTTAGCGGGAGAGCGATCTCGGGAGCCAAGAGGCTGAAACTTTGTAGGGATATTCCCTGTGCATGTACTAGCTAACGATTTCAAATTCAGCTCCCAGGTATGCGTGGTACTCATGTAAAGGCGTATAAAAGTTTCGGGGGGAGGGGGGGATTGCTAACTTGGGTATCAGGAAAGCAGAAAAACTGAAATTTTGAGGGGATGTTCCCTATACAAGTACAACTCAAATATTTCAAATTCAGCCCCAAGCTATACATGGTACTCACGTAAAGGCATATGAAAGTTTCTGCAGGGAAATTACTAACTCAAGAACCAGAAAAGCTAGAAAGCTAAAATTTCAGGGGAATGTTCCCTGTCCAAGTACAACTTAAGTATCTCGAATTCGGCCTTGGGGTATGCGTGGTTCTTACGTACGAGCATTTAAAATAAATTTTTCTCACACTGAACAGCTAGGTTAATTTTAAAGAACGGACGTTAAATAGAAATTGAACATTTACTTTATGCAAAATTTATGATGATTTATGCTAGTGACCGCAAAAGGCAACAGTCATTCGTACAGTTAATGAAGCAACAGCCATTCGTACAGTTAATGACCTGAGTAATTCAAGTCCGGTGCAAAAACATTTGATCGCACGGGCCCGCCTGGTGCGTCCCAGCCTGGATTGCTTTCGCATGTATGGAAAATGCATAACTAGATAAAAGGCAATGTTTTTAAGAGGATTTCTACTGTCCGTGTGCGGCTCACAAATTTAAAATCACCTTTCATTAGCACCTCTATCTTGCGCTCGCAAATGTCAAATTTCAAATATTAAAATTGTTGGCATTTTTCTCTCTTAGAAATCTGACAAGCAAGAAAGCTAGATTTTGTCAGCATAAGGAAAGCATAAGGAAAGCACATGATCTGAAAAGAAAGTGAAATTTGCTAAAGGAAATAAGCACCCGATGGATATCGAGCTTTATCGAGTGTTATCAGCAGGACTGGTAATCCATATTAAAATTTCCAGTTATTGTTAGGTTGGATCGGCTAATGGCATATGCTAAAAGATTGAACACCCCCTCGCAGCATGTTACGCTACAAAAGATGAAACTGTGGCTCTTCCCGCTTCCTCCCTCCTCTCCGAAAAATTCAGTGTACGCCAGTCTAGTTACTTGCACTCCGGTTTACAGGCCTGCATATTTGCCCCAGCTTTTGAACTTACTTTGTCAGCGACTTTTCGTTGATTAACACTATCAGCGAAGCTGTCAGAAATTTTAACAGTTCCATGACAAATACATTTGCTGTAATGATAAATGCATCTTCGGGTTGGCGATACCGAACGGAACGAGCCAGCAATGGCATACTGCAATTCAGTTTCACGCTAATACACATAACATCAGTTTATGTTTTGGAATTCGTACTGCTAAGATTATCAAGATCATTCGGGCAATCGATGTGAGTATTCCATGTTACTAAAGTTACTGCAATGTTCCCACACACCGAGACCACCTATACCAGCTTGTATTCTCAGCTGCACTTCGACTTAGTGCCTATTTCCTGTCTGATGCCTGCGCGCCACCCTCCATGTGTCTATTAAAAAAAAGATGCAAAATAAAGACATCGTATGAATTGCAATAATTGGTCAACGCACGGGCTGCCCGTGCGAAGATGCGTTTTTTGCATGGTTCCTCGCAGTTATTGTTGCTTCCGGCACCGGTTTTTTCGGCAAATGCTTCTAGCTAAACAAATTGAGACTGGCCGCCAGAACTGTCAGAAAACATCCCCCTAAAATTTCAGCTTTCTAGCTTCCCTGGCACCCGAGTTAGCAACTTACTGGAACAAAATTTTCACGGGCCCGTGCATGTTTACAAACCATACCTGAGAGCTGGGTTCGAGCTGAATGAAACTTAGGTGGGCGGGGTATATCCTCTTAAAATTAGATTCCTTTGGCTTCTCATGTAATTGAATTATCAATTTACACGAAAAAAATTTTGGCGGGTCCGTATGTGGATACCACGCTTACCCGGGGGCTGGTTTTGAGCCCACTAGTACCCGCTTGAGCTGAGAACATTACCCCAAAATTTCAGCCTTCTAGCTTCTCAGATCCTCGAGTTATGAACTTGCTCGGAAAAGATTTTGGCGGGCTCGCACGCGGGTACCACGCTTACCCGGGGGCTGGGTTTGCGCCCACTAATAGCGAGTTGGGCGGGAAACATTACCCCATGATTTCAGCCTTCTAGCTTCTCAGATCCCCGAGTTATGTACTGACCCCAAAAAAACTTTGGCGGGCCCGTATGCGGGTGCCACGCGGGTTTTGGCGCCCATTTTGGGGATTGGGAGCGGCACGTGCATGTAGATTAAGTTCCCGAAATTTCAGCCCCGCAGATTTTATAGTCCTGAGATGAAAGTGCGTGACCGACGCACACACAGACACACAGATACACAGGCACACGGACGCACAGACACACAGACACACGGACACACAGACAACCTCTCGTCAATATGCGCTTTTCGCACTGCATTGCTGCAAAAAACGCATAAAAATACAGTCTGCGAAAACAAAAGCTTTTTGTGTCTTCAAACATAATACTTGAATTTGTTCCAAGCGAATTCTTACACACTAATCTTCCAAAAAAAATTTTTTTTTTACATTAGCAGTTGAACTTCACCTATCGACAGACAAAGAAGAAGGGAGTGGACTGATCTTGCTCAGTATATGCTGTTCCGACCAAGATGAAGGGAATAAAGAATGCCTCTTGCTAAGGAAGGGGCTTGCACCCTAATTGTAACCAGTGGAAGGAAGGTAATAAATGTTTGAGTTTTTTTCATATTACAAATAATTGGTCAGTGCCCCCGCTGCCCGTGCGAAGATATGCTTTTTGCATAGCTCCCCACAGATTTTGTTACTAACAGCACTGGTTTTTCCGCAGATGCTTCTAAGACTGGCTGCCAGAACTATCTGGAAACACCCCCTTAAAATTTAAGCTTTCTAGCTTTCCTGGTTCCTGACTTAGTAACTTACTCGCCAAAAATTTTTACTGGCCTGTACGTGAGAACCACGCATAACTGGGAGCAGAGCTTGAAACCACTAATTTTACGTAGGCCGGGGACATCTCCTTAAAACTTCAACTTTTTAGCTTTTCAGATTTCCGAGTTAGCAAATTACCCGCAAAAAAATTTCATGGGCAAGTACGTGAGAACCAAATACATCTAGGGGTTGAATATGAAATCATTAAGTTCTATGTGGAGGGGGAACATCCCCTTAAACTTTCAGCTTTCTAGCTTTTCTGGTTCCCGATTTAGCAGCTCGCCCGCCAAAAACTTTGGCGGGTCGGTACATGGGTACCACGCGAGTAAGAGCGCTCATTTTGAGGATGGAGGTCCGCACATGAAATGTAGATTAAGCTCCCAATGTTTCAGCCCTATAACATTTGTAGGTCTCGAGATGAAAAATCGGTACAGATGAACAAACAGACAGACAGACAGACACACACACACAGAGACAACCTCCGTCAATATGCGTTTTCTATACTGCATAAATGCAAAAAGCACATTAAAAGCCGTACCATGTCTGCTGAATGACAAGTAAGCTTATACCAAAAAATTTGTACAAGTAATCAGCATTCACGTCAGTCCCTGTCATTAATATTTTGATGACACAACACAGGAAGTAAAGAATAATGCTGCTGCGATGAATATTATTCTACAGCTCAAGTACATAACCAAACTGATGATATCCGTTCATCATCAAATCGGGGTAAAATGGGGCACCACCTGATAACTATCTCCTGCGAGTGGACAGCGGAGCACAAGGGCATCAGGAAGGTTGCTGAGAATGACTGCAGCCACTCGTTCCAAATGGCATTAAAAATCTTTTGAAATGGTATAACTTCTGCGATAAACAGGCCTCTAGATCTTCGGAGCTGTTTATTCTCGTTATGATGATAAAGTGCTGAACAGAATCACAAGGAAAGGGTGTCCATCAGTAAAGTTCCCAACCTTCTCTGAAAAATTCTCTTAGCAGCTTCTAGCAACAATAGTGGCGGAATTTGCTTCCTGGGTTGTTCCATAGTTCAGATTTTCGCGCCTACTGACTGCAAAAACAGGAAATTCGAATTTCATTTTTTCCTAAGGAAATGGATACGTAAAAAAATTTTTTACAAAAAAAACTGGAAAAAATCTTTGCTTACTTTTTCCAATTATTAAAAAGCTTTTAGATAAATTTCTAAAACTGAAGCTTCGGAACAACAAAGTGCTGAAGAAGAGTCTGAAACGCAGATCCAGTTTAAGAATCATTGGCGACGCGCACCGGGCGAGTACTTGCGATCATGTTTTTTTGCAGTATTTCGTACTGTAATGAGATCACTCGGAAATCAGTAGTGTGAAGGAATAAAAGGTGTTGCAGCATGTGGAAGAATAAATGGACAGAAAGACGCAATATTAGGAAAGAACAACGACCAGCGACCATGGTCGGTCATCCCCTAGGATGGGTGGTGTAAGAGGCATGGGGTTCAAAACAAAACCTTAAAATAATTAAAAAGTAATTACAAACTGACAAGTAGGAAAATATAAAGCATTATATAAATGATTCTATCATAACCTTTTTGTAGAAGCACTGGAAACCAAATGCTTCGGCATTATGTTTTGATGCATGTCAAAAACATAACACAGAAACTCTGCCGGAAAATATTTTCCCGTGGATCTAAGACCCTGTTCCCAGATTGGAAGGTAGAAAAAACAACTGTAACTATCAGCATAAAATTCTGTTTTCGCGCACCATTCCAAAATCGAAGGGTGGGAAAAGCTCTCCTTTGACGCTTATGGAAATTCCATTGCAGGAGTATAAAGACAGTTGAAGTATTCGTTTAAGACCTTCCCGATCGCTACGTCTCGACAGATCAACGTCTAAATTTCTCCTTTCATTTGAACATCACCTTGTGCTATCTTGTAATTGCAATTGAGCGCGACGTTTTACACAGCTCGGCATGAACATCTTGCATGAAATTTTGAGGGCCCCATCCTCGCACAATTAGATTAACCCGGGACAGCGGTTATTGACTGCTCACTTGGGTATCTTCGGATTTTGAGCTGTCGCATCTGTTTCTAAAAAAGCATGTTTTTTGTTCGACCTGGTTCCCAGGGATGCTACGGGCATACTTCTCCACAAAACCATCTTATGCTGTGCTAAAGCCGTCAAGAACCTCCTGGCAACTTCTGATTTTACCGACTCTAAATTTGGTACCTTTACTCATTACATCTCGGAGTCGTTTATCCGAAACGACTACTAGACTGCCAGTGATAATGTGGCCAGCTGGAGGATAGATGTGTACTGATTCTGTACAGTTGCAGGTTTTGGTCAACCATCTGCATAGTGTT